AACAAGAGACCCATACCAATCTATGAAACAAAATAGATCCACATTTAGCTAGACCAAGCCAAAATAGAGGCCCAATCACCTAGATAAAGCCCATTGAAATGGACAACAAATGGTCCCGAAACTAAACCTCCAAGTAGAGTCCATTCCAATTCGAAATGTGTGCTTTACTTACATCGAACCAACCCATATTTGTCACCCTCATCACCCTACCTAGTAATAGGATGGGTTGGAGATTTATTATTGAATCCATGAAGAGAATGGGCTTTCCTAAGTTGGTGTGATCTAATATGGTAGTGCATCTCTACCTCTTCCTTTTCTATAAAGCTTAATGGCTCTTCTTATGATTTTTTCACCACTAAAAGAGGTTTAAGGCAAGGAGATCCTCTCTCGCCCTACCTCTTCATTATCGGTATGCAAACTCTCTTAGCTTTGTTGTACATAGAGGAAAACTCTAAAAGACTTTAAGGAATTAAGCTTGCAAAGGATGCAAACCCAATCACTCACCTCTTATTTGCCGATGACTGCTTCATCTTCTGTAAGGTGGATTCAAAGTCTTTCCTCAACATCAAATCCACCCTCCGGATGTTTGAAGATATCTCAAGTCAACATATCAACTTTTTTAAATCAGGTTCAGCAAGAACACCCATAGAATTCACCAAAAAATATTGAGCAGATAGATCCCTGGGAATGAAAATCATCTATTACAGTGCCAGATACCTATGGACCTGGCTGGTAGATGGAGAAGGTGGTAAGATGAGCACCCACAAGCATCTTGTAGAGAACGTGTCAAATAGGATGAACCTATGGTAAAACTCTTTCTCAAGCTAGCCGCACTTCCCTTATCAAAGCAGTTACCCAAAGTATCCCTCTGTATACTATGTAAACAAGCTCTCTACCAGTTGGTCTCTACAAGAAGTTGGATATGCTTCAAAAGAATTTCTAGTGGCATGGAAGAATAAGGCAAATGGACACAATTTAAAATGGAGTATTATTTGCTCTCTCAAAGCCATTGGCGGTCTAGGGCTAAGAAGATTCTCTCTTTTGAATAAAGCTCTCTTTCTAAAGTCTGTATGGAAACTCCTTAACCACAGTGGCAGTTTTTGGGCTCAGCAAATAGAAGATAGGTATGTGAAGGGTAAATGTTTCTTTGACTTGAAAGCTAAGGCTTCAGACTCATGGTGGTGGAAATGTATCATCAAGATAAAGAATGGGCTGAAATCAAACTTCTTTCTGGAAATTAGTGGATGGGAAAAAAATCTCAGCTTTCTTGGACCCTTGGATTCCTCTAATGGAGAATAACACCCCCATTGGAAGGACTGTAGACAGGGAGCCTTCACAAATAAAGGTATGTGAACTAATCAATGACAGGCATTCCTGGAATACTGATTACCTACACCAACTATTTGATGACAGTAGTGTAGAAGCCATTCTCAGTATCCCCCTCAGGTCTTCTCCACAAAGTGACAAGTTGCTTTGGAAAAGCTCTAAGAATGGGGAATCCTCAGTGAACTCTACCTATTATGCCCTCATCCAGTCCCTGCTCCCAGACCAGACCAGTGCCACTAAATGGTCTAGAATATGGGCAACTCCTTGCTCCCATAGATGCTAAATTTTCATGTGGAAATTTCTACATAATGCAGTCTGAACCAAAACATCTATCTGGAGCTGCAGAAGAAAACAAGATATCTGGTGCACTTTCTACAAGTCATCTCCTGAAACTCAAAATCATCTTCTGTTGGAATGCCCTCTAGCTCGGGCTGTTTGGATGCAAGCTAAGTCGGGCTCATGCCAGGGGCTTTTCTAAACTTTGGTCAAAGCAATTTGTTGGACTGGTGGTGGCAGTATAATAACCATATCAAGGACAAAGCACTAAAGTATAATTACCTTGCAAAAATCCTTGCAATATTCAAAAGTCCATGGGACGTAAGAAATGAAATCATTTTCAATAATGACAAACCAAATCCACTAATAAAATTAAGGAAAGCTAGTAACTATCATAACTTCAAAACATCTGTGTCCCTACGGCCATCTCCTTCTTATCCAAATAATGAATTGGACCTGCAAGATGTCCTGCACTTAGAGCAACCAATCATTATGGTGGATGGGTCATGGGACACTATCACACATAGTGCTTCAACTGGACTCTTTATGTTCTCACTCCGATCTCCTCTTCTCCTTGTAGAAGGACAACCTTGCATGGCAGGATCATCAACACCAACTGAACTCTGGGCAATCATAAGAGGTCTTTGTAAGCTTTTTTGTATGGGCTACAACAATGCTTTTCTGCTATTGGATGCCAAAGATTCTCTGTTGAAGCTAAAAGGAACTGATAAAAACATCACCTAGGAAGTAACTCTATACGATCACATCTTTGATATTCTATCTTTTTTTGATGATATCAAATTATTGTATGTAAATAGGTTGGTTGTTAAGCCTACCCATGATCTTGCAAGACAGGCCAGGCTTAGAAAAACTTTTATCAGCAAAACTAATCCCCCTTCGTCCCTTCATGTTTGTTTTATGGATCATTGTAAAAGGGGGCTCCTAATGTACCCGTGATGTTTGTAGTGGTTTCTTTTATTTTGCCAAAAAGAGGGAGAGAAAACGAAAGTGATAGACATAAAATGGGAGGGCAGAGAGGAAACTATTGAATGCGTGTCGATATGCATGCAAAAGGGACATTTAAGGGGGCAACAACATGTGTGTTTTCTTAGGAAAAAGAAATGCATAAGCCCCATTGGTTATAAGCATATCTAAGAATATAGTATGGATATACTAAAGAAGCTTGGGACGAACCCATCAGGCCGGGTCGATCTAGATGATCGAGTTTCAAAGATCAAAACATTACATTAGCGCGGGTAAAAGACTAAAACATCCCTCTTTTTTCAAAATAGACTAAAACATCCCTTACTTACTAATGTCATTGGACTAAGGCCCCCCTTCTATTAGTAATCTATCAAGATCCTTTAAAATATGACATACATGTCACTATTTTTTTTTTTTTAAATCAAATTTTACCCTGAGCCCTCTTAATCAATTTTACTCAACTGAGATAGCAATTGGTGCTCATCCACAAAAATCAGAAAGTGTGTGATTCATGTCAATCATACTATGAACAAATAACAATCTTCAAAAAATAAAAAATAAAAAAAAAGAAAAAAGACAATAAAGAAGAGATGCAAGTAGAAAACTTAAGGAAATAAATTTATAGTGTCCTTCAGTCTTCTAACCCAAAACAACCTCTTTTAATATTGGTAAAGCAGCAAATAAGTAGAAGACAACAACAACATCATGATAAACAATGATGAGGTGAAGCCTACAATAGCTTTATAGCTCTGCAACTCAATTGCAGTAAGGTTTCTTCTAGCATAACTGGTACTTTTTCCCTTTGTGGAATAAGACTAAGGTGGCATTTGATAAATCTGAAATATGAAAAGTTAAAAAGATATTAATGGCGTCTGAAATCTAACAAGAGACATAGATGCTTTTCGACTTTTTAGATGCTCTGAACAGAGAAGGTTGTTTGTGTTGGATCAAACCTCCAGCATTTGAAATTCCTTAATTTTACTATTTTACTCCTAGAACATACTACTTGGTAATTTTGAGCTCAATTTGTATTATTTCATAAAATATAATTTATTAAATTCAAAATAATATTGAAAAAATATGAACAAATTATAAAAAATAAAAAATTATTAAAATAAGAATAAAATTGAATATATATATAAATTTATAAATTAAAAATAAATTATTAAAAGTTAAAATAATAACAAAAATCATAATAAAGTCCATGAAGCAATGAAAAAAATATTTAATAATTATCAAATTATTAAGTTAAACCTATTAAACTATTTAATAATTAAAAAGTTCAAGTAATTAATAATTAATACAAATAAAATTTATAAAAATAATTTATTAAAATAAGAATAAAAATGAAAATATGTATGAATTTATAAATTAAAAATAAATTATTAAGAATTAAAATAATAATAAATTATTAAGAATAAAATTTGAACACCGTTGTTGAGAGTTGTAGCGACGGTGGTGGGAAGACAGGGGGAGAGAGAGAGAGAGGGAGAGGGAACCTGAATGCTGCTGTTGAGAGTTGTTGCGACAGTGACGGGAAGACAAAGGGAGAGAGAAAGGGAGAGGGAGAGGGTGAGGGTGAGGGAAATCAAATGCCGTTGCAACTCCTTGCAGTGGCGGTGGTGAGAAGACAGAGGAAGAGAGAGAGAGAGAGAGAGAGAAAGAAAGAGAGAGAGAGAGTGAACACCGCTGCTGAGAGTGCCGCTGCTGAGAGGCCGTGAGAGGGTGAGGGAAATTGAGGATTGGCATTTTTGTCTTTTAATGCGGTCTGAAAAATGTTTGAGGGCATTAAGTCATTGGCCTACCTCTTACAAATTCAGATCTAAAAATGTTTAAGCGCATTAATTTGAGTTAACTGATTGCTATAGTTTAGGTGGTTCTCTTTTAAACATTTGAAAATTAATTAAGGGTAGAATAGTCTTTTCATATATTATCAAATATGCAAACACAAGTTACGGATATAGGAGGCTTAAGTCCTAAGAGAAATAAGAGGGGAGGTAGAGATGACAAATTGATCTGTCCCCGTGGTGCCTCGTCCCACCCTGATCAAGCGGGTTTTTGTGACCACTGATCGGGTTTCAGGGTAGGTTCGGGGAAAACCCAAAACTCTGGGGTAGGGACGGTATTTGTCCACCCCGTTCTGACTATATCGTAAAACATATATAAAATTATCAAATTACACAATATAAAATAATTTTAGGTAAATTTTGAAAAAATAAAAAAATAAATTAATGAGTATACCGGGGCGAGGGGCAAAGTCGGGGATGGGATTAGGATTTTTAGCCCCGCCGGGGTTCGGGGCGGGGAATTTGAATTCGGGTTCGAGTATGGAACAGGCAAAACCCGGCCCTGCCCCGCCCCGCCCAGTTGCGATTCCTACTTTTACCCCTTCAGCGTTCGTAGCGATTCTAGTGAAGTGCGTCAGTAGAATCTCCGAATCTCAAGCCATGGCTTCAGCTGCTGCCTCCGCTGGTACTGCGATTTTCTCTCAATGCATGGGCGCTATTGCTCAAGTGAAGAAGCCTTCACCGTCTTCTACGCACTTAGCATTCGCTCGCTTTCCTGATCGAAGAACTGGTACTCCTCCTGCGAGTAAGATGAATTTTCCTCTATCAACACCTTGTTTTCTCATTGCCTTCTGATGATTTCAATCTCTTTTTGTCTTCTGTCTCTCTTCTCTGCCTCTTGGCTTGTTCAGAAATCCGTTATGGATCTTGCATGTTTCCAAAGGATTCTCTCTTCACCCCAAGGGCAACAGTTCTGTCTGGAGTGGAGAATTCTGGGTTTTCGGTTAGTGTTAAGAAGGCCGACAATCCGATCGTTGTCATCGATAATTACGACAGTTTCACTTACAATCTTTGCCAGGTTTACTTTCCCTTTTCTCCCTCCATTTGATTATTGTTCTGCATGATATATTTTTCCTTGTTTTACTTTCTGTTAATTCGGCTGGTTTCCTGTTCCAAGTTATGGGTTTTCTCGAACATGTTTTTTTGGGCAAATATTATATTTAATTTTTAATTTACTATTATTTCTGCGTTGGTCCTGGTTGTTAATTTTGAAACATTTCATTTGCCAAAAAGAAATGCTTTTATTGCTGGAGTGTTTTTGACAGCATTGGTTCTCTCTTGAGTTGAGTCAATACTTCCTTAGCTACATTTATAGTTCTGTAATCTGCTTTGTTCAAATTCTAGATTTTCTTTTAGGACCAACTATTGTTTTCTCTCTATCATGTTCTCATAGATCACTAAAAAGAACGGAACGGAGAGACAGGATTTATGTAGCCGACCCAATATTGTTGGGACAAGGCTTAGATGATGATGATAATGCCCTCTTTAACTTTGTATCCTTATTGATCAATTCCTTTTTCCTGGTTAAAAATGAGTATCTGGATCCATGCCTTTTGTATAAAGTGTTAATCTGGTCCAACTATTAAGGTGTTAGATTAGATGATTAAATCAAAAGAGAAACTTTTATCCCTTTGATAATTATTCATACTGTGCTTTCTATTATTAAGAAAGTCAAAATTGTTTACCTATGAAGGTTTAGTTCATTGATCATGTGCATCCGTTGAAGAAAAATCGTTAATAATTATTATTTCTCTACACTTTTTTTGTTCTACAGTATATGGGAGAGCTGGGTTGTAACTTTGAGGTCTACCGGAATGATGAGCTCACTGTTGAGGAATTGAAAAGGTAAGGATTTTTCTGTCTAGTTACTAAGATGACCGTGAATATTTCACAAGTATGGTTTTGTATGACCACACGTTATGGCTGTTTGACCTTTTTTCACTGTAAAAAGTGACTGTTATTAGTTTTTTTTTAATCACTTACTTGATATAAAATATTGTTTTTCCATATATGTAGGAAAAATCCAAGAGGAGTACTTATATCTCCTGGGCCAGGTGAGGTATTTTGTTATCATGTGAATGTGATTATTTCATGGTGCAGACTCCTGATTTGTTGAGCATTCTCCTTTAACAGGTGCACCTCAAGATTCAGGTATATCATTACAAACTGTTCTAGAACTTGGACCTGTTATACCTCTGTTTGGTGTTTGTATGGGGTTGCAGTGCATTGGAGAAGCTTTTGGTGGTGAGTATGCCCAGTTGTTATTTTCATGGCTTTCAATCCTTTGCGAACACAAAATAAAAAAAAAAACCATTGCGAACAAATATTGTCTTTCTCTGATTTTGCATCAAATATTTACAAAAACCTATGATGCACTTATTTGTTGATCTTGGAAAAGTCACAAATTTTTATTTATAGAATGAATAATCACGTGCTTTAATTCTACCTTTACTCTTTTACAGGAAAGATTGTTCGCTCTCCTTTTGGTGTTATGCATGGAAAAAGTTCTCTTGTGTATTATGATGAAAAGGGGGAGGATGGATTGTTTTCAGGATTACCAAAGTAGGTCTTCTGTTCACCATTTCTGGTTATGAGCTTTTTCTCATAAAATGGTTGTATTGCTTATGGCTGCACTTCTAGAGTTTGTACAATTTATTATTTTGAGAATTGGATGATACTGCAGGGTACCTTCTTGATCAATTTAATCTTGTTGGTTCTACCTGTTTTTCTATAAAGTTAAGCGTAGAAGGTAAAATGCACAGTTTATTTTGAGAAGGCAGGCTAGATTAGTTTGTCTGGTTTCTATGCTGATTATTCCCTCTCAAGTCGATAGGTGACATCCTTATGACATACCGGTGGTGAAGCCATGCAACTCCATACATGTTTCTTAGAGAATAAATAGATACCCTTTTCTTGTTCTCATAAGGGAATTATCACCAAAAGTCAACACCTTGGATTTGCTTCAAAGAAGAAGGCCACAATGGTGCCTTTCACCCCATGTTTGTAGCCTTTGCTTGGGATGTGGTGAGATGACTACACACTTGTTAATATCTTGTCCCTTTGTGTCTTATATTTGGAATTAGTTCTCTTCTCTCTTTGGCTGTAGGTGGGACCCTCCCCAGTCCCTAGGATGTGGTGGGCCTTTTTGATTCAAGTTTCTTTAGGCAACTGAAGAAGAGGGGTAAAATAATGTGGAGAGCCACAAGGGCAGCTGTCCTCTGGTCAATTTGGGAAGAAAGAAACAACAGGATCTTTAGATGACATATTAAGAGGATGGAGTGTAGTGGCATCTTCTACTTCTTTCAAGGCTAGAACTCAGGATTTATGGACTTCTATTTTCCAAAGGGTAAAGCTGAATTTTGATGGGAGCTCTTTAGGCAACCCGGGACCTTCTGGTATAGGTGGAGTTCTAAGGGATGAAGAGGGCAGACTAGCTATGTTCTCTGTGCCAATAGGAGAGGGAGATTCACCGAGAGCAGAAGTGTTGGCTCTTCAAGGTTTAAGGCTGGCTAAGTAGATGGGTCTTCATCAAATTAAGGGTCTATAGACAGTTCATGTGGGTATTGGGTGGATGCAGTCACCAAGTCTGGGAGTCTGGGTCTGTAGACAGTTCATGAGGGAAATAAATTGGCTAGCAAGGGAGATGCAAAGCAAAGGACTTTTAGAGAGAATTTGTTTTGGGCAGTATTGTAACTCAAGATTGTATCAATGGGGTCAGCACCCATGTACTTGGGTGGTTGACAGTTTATTTGTGTTTAAATTTAACTTCAACGAAAGCAACTGTTTCCTACAAAAAAGGGAATTTCTATCACCTCATTCACATGCTCATTTTCTATCATGGGAGTAAGTTTCCTTGAAAGAAGAAATCCCTAAAATTTCATGCAGTTGGCTCATTCTCATGCTCACCAAGGATTTTTCAGGCACATTCAAAAGTGTTTCACGGTGGGATATCTATCAAATGAAGGGATTAGTTGAGTTGTGACATCAAAATTCTAGTGATAACAGGAGATATTAGTTTAGGCTAGGAGCCTTTCTTTACCAATAGAAAAAATGCTAGGAGCTTTGCTCTTATTTGGGGTGAAAGCTTAACTTACTGCTATTAATAATGAATTTATTGTCCATGGACATGTGTCAAATGTTGTTATTGTTGTTGCTATAGTTTTTTTTTTTAGTTTTTTTGGTATTGCTGTTGTTATAGTTGAGTTGCTCTCTTTTTTCACTTTGAGCATTTCTAAATTTAAGGGCTGCAAAATTTTAGTCAAGTCATAAACTGTGATGTCGTAAACCAACTGTTTCTTTATTGTATGATGTTGGTTCTTATCACATCTTTTCTATTTTCACCCTTGAAATTTGAATCTCCGTCTTCTTATTCACCATATAACATCTCTAGTTTATTGTTGATCTGCATATATTAACTATATTCTCATAATGTTTGTAGTCTAGTTCAAGGTATTAAAAGGCTAAAGACAGAGGCAAGGTGGTTAGGTCTCAGAGACGAGAAACATAAGCCTCAAAAATTTCAATATATATGTATGGTTGCATGTATGTATGCATTTATTTACTATTTCCGTTTGGTTCGCCATCAGGAACGGAATTGGAATTGGAATCAGAATTGAAATCGCCTATTCTCAATGCCTTTTTGGTTTAGACAGGAACCAGAATTGGATTCCAATAATTGTTGTTTGGTTCATTTGGAGTTGGAATCAGAATCAATTGAAGATTTTCAATTTTATATTAGTTTTTTACTAATACTTTATCATTATTATTATTACTTTAATAATATTTTATTATTTAATTATTAGTGTTTTATTATTATAAAGTTTATAGTTAATTAATATTGTACTTAATTATTGTTATTATTTAATAATTAATATTTTTGTTTTTATTCTTAATTTATTAATAACTTATTATTTTATTATTAATTTATTAATATCTATTATTTTGCTAATATTTTATTAATATTAGGGTTTAGGAGGGTTTTGTTGAGAGTTCTTTACTTCTTGACAGACTTTGGAATGGGAATCCCATTCCCAAGGGGGGAGCTTGGAATGGCCATTCCCCCATAGAGGGGAATCCCATTTCAACCAAACAAACAGTTGGAATTGGAATGGGCCATTCCGATTTCGATTCCAAGCACCTATTCCAGGGAACCAAACAGACCCTATAATTTTATATATTTTTTAGTATAGTTTCTTTTTTAATAGCCAATTTATACATTTCCTTTTTATAGCATGTATATTTATTTTTATTTAATATGAACCCTATGGGTTTGAAATTTTATTCTGATTTTTTTTTAGAAAGTTAAAGTATAATGCATCCTTTTTCTGAAGAAAAGGTAAATTTTATTCTGTATTTTGTTTTCATTTATAATCTTTTCTATCTAAATGAAATAATCTATTTACTTAATTTACATGCATTTTAGTTTATTCATCAAATTAAATTTATTTATAATTTATTTTTTTGCATTTTTAGATAAAATTTATTTCTTAATTTTATTTTTTCTTTTTTTTTTATATTTATAACATTATCTATTTAAATGAAATAATCTGTTTATTTAATCTTCATATGTATATATATGTATATTCTAGTTTATTTTTTAATATAAGCTATAAACTGATTTATAAATATCTTCAAAAAATATTCTTCACTATATAACATTTCTTTTTTAGTGTAGAATGTCTTGTAAATGAGATTGGGAATTTTCTTTAATTTTTATTTTATTAGTAATTTTATTTATTTAAATTATTAATTTTAATTTTTAGATTGGGGAGTCCCACTACCATGTGTTATTGGTGCTGTTCTCATGTATAGTAGATTGAGATGTGGAGCACCATATTAGGACTCTTTTATTTGGTAAATAAGAGAGAAACAAAGGGATATTTGTGGTTTAAGAAAGATATTAGAAAGGATTCTTGAGCGATAGTTTGATTTTACTGCTAAGTAAATAATAAAGTTACTTTAAATTTTGGAAACCATCATATATATTTATTTGGTAGGTTGGTTAGATGAGGCATGTGCCTAACCAATTTGAGGTAAGGCATCGAGGCACAGACTTCACGGTATATAAGGTGGTTGAATTTAGTCAATTTGGCTCCACAGCACGCCAATGCCTTTTAAAACCATGGTCTAGTTATGTAGGCTTTCGTGTCTGATTTCTTCACCCGTTTCATTTTTAATTTGATGAATTATTTAGAAGTTTTTTTAGGCTTATATAATTAATTCTTGTGAAATATTTCATATATGATTGGTTGAGTACGTTATCTTAGTAATGTTAACCGGTTTTTCTCTGTAAACATTTTCAAAAAATAAAAAAAAACTATATGTGCTTTCTTTTAGACTAAACTGGCTGTCATTATGGATGGTTATTTTTTTTTTCTTGATAGATAATATGAGTGATCATTTGTGTAATGATGTTGCAGCCCTTTTACAGCTGGTAGATATCATAGCCTTGTTATTGAAAATGAAAGTTTTCCTAGTGATGAACTTGAAGTTACAGCATGGACAGAGGATGGGTTGATAATGGCTGCCCGTCATAAAAAATATAAGCGTCTCCAGGTAAGATACTGCTTTTTTCTTTTCTATTTGCAGTGTGGTTCTGTTTCAGTAACATTTTAGCCTGGGAAGCTATATATAAAACTCATAACTCGTTACATGTTGCTCATGGTCTCATGTTTCACCAGTCAGTACCTAGTCAATAGTTATTATTTGTTGTTTTACTAATTATTTCATACTGTAACAATTGCTTGTTTTTTTATCATGAATCTTTTGATATTGAAGTTGGAGCAGTTGGTCAGGGCTTGTGCAATTAGTTCTTTAAGGTTTCCAAAGATGTATTGTGCCAGATATGCATTCTAGTAATGAAATGAACTCCTGAGTGAATTATTAGTTCTAACATATTATAGAGTTGAATGTGTATTGTTGGTGTACAAATGGGAGAAGGAACAGTGGATATTGTTGATTATATGGTTTGTAATTAAGCTTGGGGTGGATTCGGGTGCATTAACTACTTCTAGAGTAGCTATCTTCACTTCGGGATGTTTTTGGTAATAGTTCACTTCAGGATTTTACATTACATCTTTTGCCATCTGCTATGCCAGCCCATGTTAAACCACCACTTGAAAATGGGTCCAAATTCCATGCTGTGATGTTGATATTTAAATTTTATTTATACTCCATATTTGACATCTTCTCCATGCCATGTCCTTGCCATATCTCAGTAAAAATAGTTTATCATTGATGCAATATCCATATGTATGATCTGTGCTACCAGTGGCCACTGCCATATGATTTCTATTGTGTGGGTAGCAGCAACATGTAGGACTGTAAATGTCAAATGTCAAATGTCAAATCAAAATCTTTTTTTTTTTTTTTTGTATAATAATAATGGAGAACAAGGATAGAATGACCAAGGAGCCAGCATCTAGGGCTCTAGGCTTCTGTAGGAGTTGGTGTCTAGAGGGTCTATTTGAAGGAGTCTATGCCTTCAAGAATGTTTGGACCTTGCAACAAACAAAAGAAGCAGAATTTCTCATAAAATTTATTAATGAAGTGAGATCCTTACATATTACAAGAGAATATTGACTTCTTTCAGATGTTTATCCCCCTAACCATGAGTATAGCATTCCTTGTATCTTCCTTGCCGCCATCTCTTCCCCTTCACTTATTTTCAAAAATATGCAAGTTCCTCTCACTCCATATAGCCCAGAAAATGGCCAAAGGAACCACTTCTCGTACTGTTTACTTACCTTAGCTAAAAAAAAAAGGAGAATATTGACATCTAAAACTAAAAAGAAACAAAAATATATTGTAGGACCTTTTGAAGATCTCTAATTATTTCCTAAGATCTCCTAACTTGACAGCAAATAAAATCTCTAGATAAAAAAGGCCATTATCCAACGATGGTCCAAGCAAATAAAATCTCTCTATAATGACCAAAACTCAGTTAGAAAGCAAATCTCTACAATGACCAAAACTCAGAAAGTAAATCTATAGAATACTTTTGTAGGTTTTCATATTAAATTTAAAGAGTTATTTGTGAGGCCTATGGGGACCATTGCTGTTCTTGGTGGTTGGATAGGTAGCTAATGCCCAATGTATTTGGCTCATTTTGTATTGAGCCTATTGAAACTTGATAGTTGGCCCATCATGAGACCCATGAAAGGCCTATAGGATCTACACAAACTTAGACAAAAATGTTATTGTTTCTTCCCTTTTTCATCCCTAGGTTCTGCAAAATTCTCCATCAGTCGAAAGAAAGTCCACCCTCAAATTTTAAAATGGAGAACACTGAAAATCAACTGCGATTTTTTTGAATGGTAACATTTGCAGGATTATCTGTGAATGGATGAAATTGAATATGATTAACATCTGATTTTGTACTCTGAACTACTGAGATGTGCTTTAGCAAATCATGTTGAATTGTTTTTGCATTTGACAATTGAGGCTTTACTTTATCTATAACAACTGGTTTGGTGCTGTATCCCATGCTCAGAAATATATAATTAAGGCATTGAATGCATATATCTTCCACATTATCGAAATGAAAAATTTTCAAGGGTTGCTCAGACTATGCACCTACTATTTTGTGAAGGTTTCTAAAGATATTATAAACTTCATCCTTGGTTGAAGTGGGGAAGAAACTTCAACCTTAAATTTCATCAAATAAACCCAAATACATCAAGTATAATCATCAACAAATGTGATAAAAGTGCGATATCCAAACAAGTAGGGGTTTATTCAAGCTGAGCTGAGCCAAATATTTGGTTATTCAAGCTCGGCCCGAAAGAAAAATGTGAGGCTCAGGTTCTAGATCAAGCTTGAGTCAAGCTATAAACACAAGCTCAAATTCAGCTCGACTCAAAAGCTGATATGTTTGACCTCGACTCAGCTCGAGCTTGACAGTGAGCCAAGCTTCATATAAAATAAAAAATTAAACATGTAAAGAACTATATCCACATGTAAAAATTAAAAACATTATATATAATATAAGCTCAATTAGGTTCACAAGCTTCACGAATTGAGCTTCATTGGGCTTGAACTCGGCTTGAAGCTCAGGTTTAGATCGAACAGGAATCGAGCTTTTCACAAGCCAAGCTTTAATAGCTTGAAAAGCTCGGTTTTTGTCTCCACCCCTACAAACAAGTAAGCAAAGATAGAGCCTCAAGCATTAGAATAAACAATTACAAATAGAATTGAACTATTATTATTATTTAATGGATATGCCGATATGGGATTTGAGAATGTTTAGTAGACTTACAGATTTCACACTGAAAAATCAAAGGACCACACTCAAACAAAATAGGAAACAATTGCTTTAAATATGAAAAAGACACATGACCAAGTCTAAAATCCCAACATATTAGTTGATCTTTATTACTACTAGAAACAAGGTTCAAAGATACCCGAATACGACAGAAGGGGTGTATCAGTATTTTGTACCACACACATCCAGTTTTTGTAGTTTTTTTTTTCCCAAAAATAGGGAGGAGGTAGGTTTAAACCTTGACCAAGTCTAAAATCCCAACATATTAGTTGGTCTTTATTACTACTAGAAACAAGGTTCAAAGATACCCCAATAAGACAGAAGGGGTGTATCAGTATTTTGTACCACATACATCCCAGTTTATTTAGTTTTTCTTTTCCAAAAATAGGGAGGAGGTAGGTTTAACCTTGTTTAACATTTAAAACAGTTATTTTTGGGATTAGCCTTAAAATAGGCACCACAGGTGATATACAATACGATCTGTCAGATACATGGTGTATCAGTTCAAAATTTTGAACCTTGACTAGAAGAGATGCTAAGTTTACTAGGCTGATGAACTGTTGTAGATCTAGCTGAAGTCTCCAAGAGATACAAGCTTTCAGTTTCACAACCACCCTTAGTTACCTTCTTCAAGTACAGGTCCTAAAGAACATAATGTCAAGGAAAAAAATAATGCTACAATTCAATGGTTTGGTAATACTACTAATATATAACAAGATAGTACTCACTAGTCAGATACGGAAACATGCCAATACAATGCATAGAGAAATTCTGATGACAAGAATCACACCCTTTTTAGCAATAAAAGAGGGCAATCCATCAGCTACCCAAGTTTTACCAGAACACATGGAGCAACTAGAAAAATCGAAGAAATATCCATTAGTATTTAAGGCACTGGAATCAAGGATCCATGATGGTGTAGAAGCAGATAAATGTATGCCTTGTAAAAGCTTCACATTTGAGGCTATGCTCCATATGCCTCTGGGTTATTTATTTTTTTATCAATAACACATTTCATTAATTAATCATAGAAATAATTACAAAGGGGAAGATAAACTTTCTTATCTTCCAGCTGAGGCTTGAGCCCCCAAGAAAGGAAAAAAAGAATTACACCTGAGCCCAAAGCATAGACTCCCTCTCCACCCCTTGTTTAGCTAATCCATCAGCAAAAGAGTTAGCTGATCTTTTCACCCAACTGATCTTGACTTCCATCTCTTGAACCAGCCACCTAAATTTCCTCCTCTCATTGCTGTAGTTCCATAACCCACTGTTGTCTTTATTCAGCCACCTTACCACCACCTCTGAGTCCCCTTCAATTATAAGTTTTCTTATATTCATCTTCTTAGCTCTCTGGACTCCTTCCATAACTGCATAGATCTCGGCTTTGACAGAGTCATCCACTCCAATTGTGCCTGAGAACAGGGCTGAAACAATCCAATTCTCATCCCTAAACACCCCCCAATCCCCGAGTGTCTAGGATTCCCTTTACTACTCCCATCAAAGTTTAGTTTTAAGAAACCAACTGGTGGAGAGGTCCAAGACACACTCATTACTGTTTTGGTCTGAGAGCAACTAGCAATCTCACCCCACTTCCTCAACATGTCATCCACTGTGTAATCTGTGAATAGCTCTGAGGATTTCAGCCATTGTACAATCCTTATATGGATCATTTCTCCCAGTTCTTAAGCACCTCTCTCTACTTCAGAGAAGATCCTGGAGTTTCTTTCTTCCCATAAAGACCAGCATACCACAGCCCTCAAGCATCTCCACATGGTCTTACCCCTTTTCATACGCCACCTAAAGAAAGGGGGAAAAAGACTTTACAAGTTTGATGGAGGGTTCCAAATACACCCAAAGAGGGAGAAAGCCCACTCCCAAATAGACTTTGCAAACTGGCATGACACTAATAGGTGAAAACCAGTCTCCCCATCAGCTTTACAGAGATGAGAGAACACACCTGTGAGGGGATAAACATGTCTTGGGTCTCTTCTTTTGGAGCAGATCACCAATGTTGATTCTTTCCAGAAAAGCTTCTCAGCAAAAACTACCAACCCTAGGAGGAATTGGTCTGCACCAAACCTCTTTAACGGGGAAGGGGAGGGCTACAGGGCTGGTGGACTGGTTAAGACTTTGAAGAAAGAGGCACAAGAGAATGAGCTAGTGGGGGTGGGGGTCCAAATTCTAGTGTCCAACTTAGAAGGGTCTAAAAAAACACTATCAAGAAGTCCAAGGAGATTCAAAATACTGTCAAGGTCTGAGTCTCTCACAGCCCTCCTCAAACCCAAATTCCACC